TACTACTACTACTACTACTACTACTACTACGACTACGACTACGACTACGACTACTACGACTACAAATGCGACTACTGCTACTCCTACGACTACGACGGCTACTACTACGACGACTACTACTACTACAACTACTACTACTACCGCTACTACCACTACTACCCCTACTACTACTACTACTACTACTCCTACTACTACTGCTGCTGCTACTACTACTACGACTACTACTACGAATGCTACTACGACTACGGCGACGACGAGACGACGACGACGACAAGGACGACGCCGACGACTACTACTACTACTACTACAACGACTACGGCTACGGCTACGACTACGACTACGACTACTACTACTACTACTACTACTACTTTAGTAGTAGTAGTCGTAGTAGTAGTAGTCGTAGTAGTAGTAGTAGTTAGTAGTAGTAGTAGTAGTAGTAGCAGTAGTAGTAGTACTAGTACTAGTTAGTAGTAGTAGTAGTAGTAGTAGTAGTAATAGTAGTAGTACTACTACTACTACTACTACTACTACTACTACCTACGACTACTAGAACGACGACTACCATCACTATCACTACGACGACGACTACTACTACTACTACTACTACTACTACTGCCACCACTACTACCACTACGAATACGACTACGACGGCTGCTACAACTACTACTACTACTACTACTACTACTACGACTACTACTACAAGTACTATTGCTACTCCTACTACAACAACAACTACTACTAGGACTAGTACCAGTACGAGCACTTCTAGTACTAATACTACTACTAGTACTAGCCCTACTACTACTACTACTACTGCTACTACTACTACTACTACTACGACGACGACCACTACTACTACTATTACTACTACTACTACTACTACTACTACTACTACTACTACTACTACAACTACTACTACTACTACTACTACTACTACTACTACTACTACTACTACTACTACTACTACGGCTACTACGACTAATACTACTACGCCTACTACTACGAAGACGACGGCGACGATGACTACGAATACGACTACGATCGCCCGGGTCATGTGCATATGCATTCTGCGGAGGAGGAGCCGAGACATTCGGCGGCTCGACTCGTTCGAAACATGGGGCATGTGCCCCCCACTTTGATCACCGTGGGTGTTGCGCAGGGGATATGGGTGCTATAAACTGATACAGGGCTATATCTGACCTGACCTAGCTTACAATGGAGCTGCAACTGTCCTCCTAAGCGGTACCAAGCTTATTAGGCGGAGCCACTGAAGGCACTTTCAACCCGCTTATCCGCCAGCTCCGTGATTCTGCGGATCAGGCTTGTTGCGCCCTGCGCCAGTTCCAATATCCAGTCTCCAATGTTATAGTCCTGCTTCCTGCTTCCTTCTGTGCATTGAAGTCCGCGCGAGGGGGGGGGGGGCGAAAAGAGCCTTGGTTACTACCACCTCAAAGGGTTCTCAGAACTTCTGGGAGGTCCTGGGACACGTAAAAATGAGCCGATCCCGCTTTCAAAGAGCCTGAGAAACAACCTACAGCCTGAGCTTCAGCTCTGCTGGGAGGGGGCGGAGTGCCTCTGCCGGGGAAGGGATGTGTGTGGGGGGGGGGCCTGTGCTCAGGTTTCTGGGCGGGGCTGGGACATGTAGAATCCGCCAAATTTCCAGCCCGGGGGCCAGAGAGCCCAAGTTGGCCGCCAGATATTTCCCAAACGGCTCAAGATGCACCCAAGATGGCCCAGAATGCCCTCCAAAAAGGCCCCCCAAAGGCCCGACATGTTGATTCTCAACATGCTTTTTTGAAGGATTTGGGCGCTTCATTCTTTTCGGTCTTCCGATGGCCCCAGAGGCCCCAAAGATCGACCCAGAAGCCTCCAAGATGGCCCTGGAGCGCCCCCAGAGTGCTGCAGATGGCATAGCGGTTTCCGACGAGCCCGGAACGCCCTAGTCAGCCAATGAGGCTTTCAAGAAGCCCCCAAGAGGCGCAAAGATCCCTCAAGAGGCCTCCTCCTACGACGGCCCCAAGAAGGCCCCAAGACGGCTCCATAGGCCTCCAAGCAAACCCGAGCACCGCCGGGAACGCCCCAAATCGGGGAAACTGGCCAGAGGCCACTACAATACGTGAGATTCGCGCCCCCAAAGCCATGATCTATCGTAAATTACGCCATGCTCGCGCCCTCAAGGCCAAAATCCCTTCTAAAGAACACAATATTCGCGTCCCCGTCCCAAGGGCCATACACTCTCTCAAAGTATGCTGTGTTCGCGCCCGAGACCATAATTCCTCTTCCATTACGCAATATTCGAATCTCCGAGACAACATGCTCTCGTAAGTTATACAATGCTTGCGTCCCCGAAGCCACGATCCCTTGTAAATTACGTGTTCGTCGCGCCCCCGAAATCATGAGCCATCGTAAGATATGCAATATTCGCGCTCTCGGAGCCACAATCACTCATGAAAGGCCCACGCGACGGTGCACGAGGCTTTGAAGAAGAGTGCTTCATGGTGCCCAAGATGGCCCCAAGACGGCACAAGAGGCTCCCAAGAGGCCCCCAAGAGCGCTCCAAGAGCACCCCCAAGAGGGGCCCAAGAGGCCAATATCTGCGATGCTCCTTAGGTGTTTGATAGATTTCGGCAAGCTCGCCTTTTCGGGCTCCTGACGCTCCAAGACGGACCAAGAGGCTCTCCAGAGCACCCCATGACGGTTCAAGAGGGCCCCTGGACGGCTCAAGAGACCTCCAAGACGGCCCAAAAGGGCCCCAAAACGGCCCCGAGAGTCGAGACGGGGGATCCGAACCCAAAAGTTGCCCCCGTTCGGAGCTCCGACGCTGCTTCACGACGGCGCCCAGGCCTCACAACATAGCTCTTGCATGTCCCATTCTTAGAGAAAGGGGGCCAGCGGCAGGGGGCGAATCCCTTACGGATAAGCTAGGTTGGGCCAGCGTTGACCAACCTGAACGTCCACTTCCAGCCCCCGATCCCCTTCGCACCCCCTGCGGCGATCTACAGTCAAAACTGATAGTAAGGACGCGCGACAAGGATGCAAGGGCCTTGAACGCCCATGACAACACTTTTCGAGCGGGGCGCGGCCAGCGAAAGAGGTCAATGATAGACCGAAGAGGAAACGATGCAAGGGACCCCCTGGAAAGGCTACCTATCCTTATTATCAAGTTCGACTGCATCACCTTAGCACCCCCCCGCGGTGATCCGAGTGTGCCCAAAACTCTATGGGGAGACCAAAAAAAAAACGCTAGCGATGCCGCTACTCAACGGACCTCCCCCGGGGCGCGCTCTGACCAGAATTTCGAGGCGAGTCCAGTGGTGGCGACGAGGGAGGGCCTCCCTGGAGGACGGAAAAGGGGACAACGGGCGAAGGGTAGCGGTCTCGGTACTTGTTGTTCCTCCTCTGACTCTCGGTGGGCCCAGACCTCTCGACCCCCCTGCCTCGGAAACCTCAGGAACAACGCGTGCAGCCCGGGGCCCCGGCCGGCACCCCTGTCCCCCCAACCAGTTCTTGAGAGAGGCGCCATCCTCCTCGACCCGTCCAGGCAACCAGCTGTGAGCCCTACCTCGAGGGACGACACATTATTCGAGACGTACGTGCGCAACCCCTTCTCCTTGCGGGTCGGCTACTTGTGTATGAACGCTCCGTGCAGAAGAACACATCGCGAGATACGCACGATCTGCGCTGCCCTGGGCACTGCCGTGCCTCCCAGGAGTCCACGAACGTGGAGACAGGTGCGCAGTTCGCGGCCCCCGAGGAAGCACACAGGATGCAGGAGGAGGAAGGCGCAGGAGACTGGAAGGAGGAGGAGACGCGCGAGCAATGCTATCTCGAAAACGCGAACCCAACACACGGGAGGGTTGGGAATGACAGAGACATAAACTTTGGAGGGTCCGCGGAGACTTCGTGCGCGCCAGGGACGGGGGTTCAGCGCCGATCCAAGAGCGGGAGGACCTCCGAAACTTTCTGTTGACGTCACCCCTTCAGGGCAGATTTCCGAAACGCAATCTGGGGTTCAGAATTCCAAGGATGTCTGCAGCCAAGCAAACCCCAGCTGGGGATTGGACCCGCTTCGCAATTGGTCGCAGTCAGTTTCGACCCGCCAAGGGGAGAAGGGAGCGACACGCGAGGCGGAGGGCGGGCGCCGTCCTCGCGCCAGCGGGAGCTGGCGGCCGCGGCGAGTGGTCGGGACACACCCCGGCGCCGCGTGGCGACACCCCCGCCGCGACCCCTGGCTTCTATGGCCGACGCTCCATGGCAAACTCTCGGGAGGGAGGGGGGCTCCAAGGAGGGGATGCATCTGTGGCTCTAGATGATCGCAAAAAAAGAACAGAAACATGATTTCTCAGAGCTCTGCGCGGATTTCTTGGATCGGCGCTTGCCCCCCTTCCCTGGCGCGCGGAGCGTGCCATGGGCCGCGCTGGAGAAACCGCCAGGGGGGCCCAGCGCAGCTCCGAGAAATCATATTTGTGCCCGCAATTGTTTTCGAGATTTGGCGACGCGCCCCCGCGGATCACGCGGGGCGCTGCATGTTGATACCTTCCCATCCCGCGAGGGCGGGGCGCGGGGAATCACCGTCTAACGCTCCGCGCGAGATCCTCGGGGGCACGCCTCCACACTGGGGATAAACTCCAGGCGAGAATGGGCGAAAGGGGTGCGAGTGGCAAAGGTAGGCGACCACGTGCGAACCCCTCCTCCTGCAGGCCAGATTCCTGAAACACCGGAAGAGGGGAGTCAGAACAGCACCGCAGGGATGCCTCCAGCCAAATGAACCCAACCGGCGGTGCCCGATTACCCGATCGTCGACCGGACCCGCAGGGGCAGGATTCGCAAGGGAGGGGGGTTGGCGATCCTCCCTCCATCCTCCCCCTTCATTCCCCTCTCTGCCTCCTCCCCCGTCCCCCTCTTCCCTCTCCTCCTCCCCTTGCCCCCCCCGCTCGGTGCAGACGCTCAGACTGTGCCTTGGAGCGCCCAAGAGACAGATACCCGCACACCGCGGCCGCTTACGCCATGCCGGAGAGCGCCTCCTGCAGAGCCGACCTCACCTCAGCAGACGACGGTGACTCCACGCCTCTGAGCTTCGCAAGAGCCTGCCCGTTCATGCGCTGAGCGGCTCGGCGCATGCCAATGAGGATGGGCTGGGAGAGGGTCAGCTCGAAGCGATGTTGGGGGGACAAGGACGTACCCGACTCTCCCCCTACTTCCCTGCTGAAAAGGTCGACCAAAACATCTCATGGTCCCGAGAACGATCCGCCACCGTACCCTGGCACGAAATGGAATGTCCTCAGACCCTTGGACTATTTCCGTAAGCCCGTCCTCCCGTCCTCAATTCGGCTGGCTCTTTTCAAGGGCCTGGATCCGAAATTGCCAAATCGTCTGGAGCTCCCCGCGCGCCTCCTGGGGCGCGTCGCGGCTTCGTTCGGGCCCAGGAGAGATGCTCCCAAAACGGTCCAAGAGCCCCGAGTCGCCAAAAGATCCTCCAATACGCCCAGGATGGCAGAAAGACGGCCCAAGATGGCCCCAAGCCTCGCCAAGAGCCCCCAAGATCGCCCCAAGAGGCCTCCAAGCGGGCCCCAAATAAGCCCAACAGGACCCCCAGACGGCCCAAGAGGCGACCAACACGGGTCCAAGAGACGCCTAAGAGGCCCTCAAGAGGCCCCAAGAGACCCTCAAGAGGCCAACAGGAGGCCCCACGAGGCTTCCTCCCCCACGAGTTCCTCGAAGGGCTTCCACAACGGCTGGGGGGAACGCATGGTCCAACAGCGTGGCCAAGCTTCGCCCAAACGCTCGGCCACACAGGCGTATCTGACAAAAAAATGGGGCGAGGGTGATTCGCAGAAGCCGTTGTGGACCTTGGCCGTCGGCGACAATGTGGGGCTTGCCCCGTGGGGCCTGCCTGTTCTCTGAACAGGTGTGCGCCGCGCGCACCGACCCGACCTGACCCTGCTGTGCAGGGGAGGGCCAGGCGGAGGAGATACAGGCGGAGAAACAATGCATGAGCATGATGAGCGCGCTTATGGCAAATTCGTGTCGTGACGACTTCTACATTGGCATGCGACACTGCGTGAACCGTTCAACTTTGAACGATCACAGCTTTCCGACAGCCAGCGTAGATCATTCGACGTCGGCCGATTCTGGGCCACCAACGAGCTCAACCTTGAACGCCCGCGCTGGGGTCGCCGCCGTGTCAACGCGGCGAAAACCTGCCATACGGATGCTGCCACAATGTGGCCATAACACCGTATCGTCCCAGCTTGCGCTGTAAGGCGGACGATTCAACGATGCACTCTCGGCGATGCCGGGAGGAAGGGCGTGGGCAGGAAGGCATATACACCGAGCCGAAGACCCAGGCCGGGCCCCGCCAGGATCGGTGTAGGTGTACGGATGGTGCCCTCCCAGACCCCCCTTTCTCCAGATCCGTTTGGTCGGCACGGCCCTTGCCCCCCCGCGATGCGAGGTTCGCACGTAGTCGAGCGTTTGAGACCGGCCCTCCATCAACACGTTCATGCCGTCCGAGCGCATGGCCTCGGCGGCAGCGGCCGCAAAAGTGATCCGCTGTCCCCCCTCGCGGGGGCCAGAGACTGGGAGAACAAAACTGCGAGGCGGGGGGGGGGTATCCGTCGCCACGGCAGGCGGTGGGTATGGATATGGCTGGGACCCCTACGGCCCGTGTGTATGTATACACATATATTTATGTGTGTATATATGTATAACCACCGCCTGCCGCGGTCCTTGAAGATCAATCCCCCAGGCGGTTGTGATGTATAGATCCCCCCTCGGCAGCACATGCACACACAAGCACCACAAGTTCCACCCCCAACACGAAAAACTGGACCACGCTGGCCGACCTACCACCCCCACAAGGCGAGGATGGGTGCAGATCCCCACCTACCTAACTTCTCGTGTCCTGGTGGGTATTGGCATGGTTATGATGACGATGATGATGATGATGATGATGATGATGATGATGATGATGATGATGATAATGATGATGATGATGATGGTGATGGTAATGGTGATGGTGATGGTGATGGTGATGACGACGACGACGATTGTGATGCTGCTAATGATGATGGTGGTGATGATGAGGGATGAGATCGATGATGATGATGATGATGATGATGATGATGATGATGATGATGATGATGATGAATATGAGGATGATGAAGATGATGCTGCTGCTGATGATGATGACGATGATGACGGTGATGTATGTATGTGATTGCACATTTGATAAGCACATACACACACTCTCATACACACGCTCCGACATCGCTTCCCCCTGGACCTCCGTCTTGAAAGATCCTGCGCGCGAGTCTACTCCTGACACCCGCCGTCTGTATGCGAAGGCATGTCTGCGTGTCGACGCATGGCGTTCTTCGTTAGCCAGTGCACCAGCCATGCGACAACTGAAACTAATCCCAAATCCGCCGGCCCCCTTGTGGGGCCACCAGGTTGTAGGCCTAAGGTTAGCAGTTTCCTGTACCAGTTGCAGCTTCCAGTTTCCACTGTTACAGTTCTGCTTCTTGCTGCTTACTGTTCCTTGTTACAGGTCTGCTTCTTGCTGCTTACTGTTCCTTGTTGATGGACCGCGCGCGGGGGGGAGGCCCAAGACGGGCATTTTCACCATGCCCTGGGAGGATTCTCAGAATTTCTGGAGTGTTAAAACCATCACGCAGATCGGCGGGGTCAGGGTCCAAAAACATATGCTCCAAGAGGCCCCCGAGAGGCCCCACGAGGAGCCCGAACGACTCACACCAGGACGGGGGGCCCGAACGACTCACACCACGAAGAGCCCGAACGACTCACACCACAAGGAGGGGCCCGAACGACTCACACCAGGACGAGGCGCCCGAACGACTCACACCACGAGGAGCCCGAACGACTCACACCACGACGCGGGCCCCGAACGACTCACACCACGAGGAGCCCGAACGAGTCACACCAGGAGGAGGGGCCCGAACGACTCACACCAGGATGAGGGGCCCGAACAACTCACACCACGAGAAGCCCGAACGACTCACACCAGGACGAAGAGCCCGAACGACTCACACCACGAAGAGCCCGAACGACTCACACCAGGAAGAAGGGCCCGAACGACTCACACCAGGACGAGAAACCCCAAACGACTCAAATCACGAGGAGCGCTTTCTCTCCCTCCTCCTCCGCCTCGTCCTTCTCCCGCTCCCCCCACAAGGAGGATGTACAAGGAGGCGGGAGGAAGGAGGAACAGGGGAGATATGCGGGGCCAAACGGACACACGCCTGAAAAACACGACTGTCGGCATGCTTCGCATGAGTTGCTGTTGTGAGATGGGCTGGTGGGGATACGCGAAGCGTAAAGAATTGCTGGAGTGTTAAAACCCTCACGCAGATCGGCGGGGTCAGGGTCCAAAAACATATGGGATTTGCCACATTTCTGAAATTTGCTGGCACCCCTCACGCAGATCGGCAGGGTCAGGGTCCAAAAACATACGGGATTTGCTACATTTCTGAAATTTGCTGGCACCCCTCGCACAGATCGGCGGGGTCAGGGTCCCAAGCCACAAGGGATTTGCCACATTTCTGACATTCGGTGGCACCCCTCATGCAAATCGGCGGGGTCAGGGTTCAAAAAAACTTGCGATTTGCGACATTTCTGAAATTCGGTGGCACCCCTCACGCAGATCGGCGGGGTCAGGGTGCAAAAACAAAACGGATGTGCCACACATGTAATATTCAGAACACACCTCACGCAGATCGGCGGGGTCAGGGTCCAAAAACACACTGGGTTTGCTACATTTCTGACATTCGGTGGCACCCCTCACGCAGATCGGCGGGGTCAGGGTCCAAAAACAAAACGGATTTGCCACATGTCTGAAATTCGGCGGCACCCCTCACGCAGATCGGCGGGGTCAGGGTCCAAAAACACATGGGATTTGCCACATTTCTGAAATGCGGCGGCACCCCTCACGCAGATCGGCGGGGTCAGGGTCCAAAAACACATGGGAATTGCCACATTTCTGAGATCCGATGGCACCCCTCACGCAGATCTGCGGTCAGGACACAAGAGACTTCCAACATGTTCAAATTCGGGGAGAAGATTTGGGCACAGCATACAGAAGCGAATGGAAGATACAACAGCGAGTACAGCAATAGACTCGAAATATCCATTCGTCTTGCCAATTCCCCATCGTCTTCGCATGAAGTTCCGACGCTGCTTCACGGTGAAGCCAAAGCCTCATGACTTCGCTCTTCTGGCGGCAGGGGGCGAAGCCCTTACGGATATTCCCTCAACCCCGAAGCGCCCCCGGGCGCCTCGACCTCTTTGCGCCCGGACCAAGATTTCAGAGTGAACCCAGCCGTGGCGACAAGGGTCCCCCCCCCCGCAAAGAGGGGGGGAAGGGGGTGGGGGGCAGAGGAGCGATAACGGGAGATGGGGTTTGGGGGAGCGGCACCAGCACAGTCAAGCTGCTGCAGTAAGGAAGGCTGGGTAAGAAAAGAAGCCCCTTGTCTTGCACCACGAGAGTCTGGGTTCAAGAGGAAAACCAGAGGAGCAACCACGGAATGACTTAAAGAACAGCGAGACCCTGCCGAACCCAAAGCGGTCCTCATGTCAGCGTCTTAAGTGCACCACTTTATCTTCCCAGTAAGACGGTCCCCAGATGGCACAGGGTGGCCCGCGATGTCAAAGAAATAACCCAAAATGGCCCCCGAGGGCCAACAAATGCCTCCGCCCCGGCTGCCCCAGGACAGCAGATGCGTCGGTGGGGTCGGCCAGCGGAAGATGAGGCGGAGCTCTGTTGGATCACCTCGCCCTGCGTAACCTCGGCGACCGTCGGAATATGTTTGCCAACGCGCGGTTCTTTCAGGACTGTGTTGGCGACATTGGACACATACATGTCGTAGCCGTAGCCCTTGATGTGCGTGTCGAACTTCCCGTTGAACTTGCCGAAGGATAAGCAGTTCACACAACCCTGCAACAACTCTGGAGTGAGAGCAGCTGTGGAGAATGGAATCCCTTGACTCTCGCAGTGTGTCACAGCCAACAACGTCAAAGAACGAAATATATTACCGTTTGACCATGCAACCGCTCTGGGAAGCGCTTTGGTCAATTTGTCCACCGTGGTACCCTTTCCTGTGCCACTCAGACCTGTGAGAACCATGACACACCCTGACTGGGGACTATCTCCGAGCCTCTCGAGAATGATTGCGGCCACCGTGTCCGCAGATTTGCCGAGCACGTCAATGCTCACCACTTCCTCCACGGGGGGGCTGGCCTCGATCACGCCCTTCTCGACTGCCTTTGCAATCCCCAAGGCGAGCTTCTGGTCGTCTTCCTCATCACGAGCTTGGATGCCTTCCATCTCTTTCCTCGAGAAAGACATGAACAGATCGTCGGACTCGAAGGCTGCTATTATGGCATTCGATGTGGTGTCGTCTGCCGCCAACAAGATGGCTTTCGTCAGTCCGGGCGTTGTCCTCAGCGGGGTGACCCCGTGCAGAATATTGTACACATGGCAATAGCCCGCCGGCCCCCGCTTGTCGGGGCTGATGAAGATATCGAGATGGTTGGCGGGTCACCTCCGCCTCTTCTAGAGGAGGAGCAAAACAATCACATCAAGGTTCGGAGGTCCGCGCCGATTTATGGATCGGCGCCACAGCACTTGGCGGCACCTGTGGCGCCGCCCCTGGCGCGCGAAGAGCGCCAGGGAGAGGGCCCAGCGACAATCCAAGAAATCTGCGCGGACCTCCGAATGGTGGCGATGTTTCTTTTTCGTTGTCTCCTCAAAGAGCCCGATATAGACCGACGATAAGCGCTAGATAGCAACTCCGCATGTTCCTGGGGGTGGTATATCAGGGCGTTTTGGGGAGCCCCGGGACGCCCTCGGCGAGGCGCAGCTGCTGGAGAGCAAGCCGAGGCTGGAAAGCCGCCGTGAGCATAAGCAAACGCCCGAAACCTCCGACCTCGAACCCCAATGCTGCTCCAGAAAAATCCGTTCCGTTTGGGGAGAGGCGAGATCGTCAACCCTCCGGGTGCAGGGCGCCGACTGTCCTCACAGCGCTGCTGGCCACAGGCCAATCTTGGGCCCTAGGATCGATGGACACGCCATCCTCGCTGGGCGCTGAGCCAGGAGGGCGGCGCATCCAACGATCCTGGGCCCAGGATGGGTATGGCATCCAAAACCTCCTCGCGTCTTAGGACAAGAACGCGGCGGGAGGTTGTTTGACATGTTTCTGCCTCTGTGTGCCCTCACAAAACACTGAGGCCGTCATCGTCCTAAATATGACCTGGGCGTTTACCGTTTCGAACTCGAAGTCTTGGAAAATATTGTTTTGGCGCCTCTAGATCCCAACATTATTATCTGGGCGAAGGACCCAGTCATTTGTAGTTGCGAGTGCTGTCGTTGTGGGTATCGCCACGAAGCATGTGAAGGGTGTGCCGGGCGGGGCGGCCATGCGGGCGCTGCCACTGGGGCTTTAGATAAGGTCCCCTCGTTGGCCACCAAGCGTATGAGGGGTGTGCCGAAATGGGGCGGGGCCGCCATGCGGGCGCTGTCACTGGGGCCTTCACTGTGAATGTGGCATGCGGACCCTGGCACTGGAGCCTTCGGTGGAGCTCCCTGCAGGACCACGAGACGTGTGAGTTGTGTACCGAAATGGGTAAGGCGGCCGCATGTGGTGCACACCCCTATGGACCCACGAAACGGATGAGGGGTGTGCCGAAATGGGTGGGGCGGCCGCACGTTGACACCCCACTTGTGCGTTCGGTGAAGCCCCCAGTGGAGCCACGAAACGTGTGAGAGGTGTGCCGAACTTGGTGGGGCGGCCTCATGTGGTATACCCCCCTAGGCCTTCGGTGGAGCTCATTATAGGGCCACGAAGCGTGTGATGGGTGTGCCGAAAATGGTGGGGCGGCCGCATGTGGTGCACACCCGTGGGGCCTTCGGCGAAACGTTTGAGGGGTGTGCCCAGATGGATGGGGCGGCCGCATGTGGTACACCCCTGGGGCCTTCGGTACAGCTCCCCATGGGGCCACGAAGCGCTATACTGGGTGTGCCGAACTGGTCGGCATTCGAAGGGCAAAGGCAGGGATGAGAGGAGGGAGAGAGGAGGTGGATGATGAAGGGGGAACGCGGGCGCGCTGCCTCGTCAAAGCGTGGACCCACCACCACAAACTGATTGGGACAACTACATCAAACACGGTAAATCGCTCTGACTGTCGGACCCCGCATGCGTGTTTCCTGGATTGCGTGGGGATATCCTCCTGCCCCCTCCTCCTACCCCCTCCAACCTCCTCCTTGTCCTCTTGCCTGCCCATCCTGCGTCATCCTCCTGCCATCTAGTTCTCTTCTTGCCTCCTCCTCCTCCTCCTCCTCCTCCTCGTGTTCCTTCTCTATCTGTCGCCTCCTCCTCCTCCTCCTCCTCCTCCTCCTCCTCCTCTCCATGCCTCCCCTCTTCCTCCTCCTTAGGCATCCTGTCTCCTCTTAGGGTCTCCTGGTGCACCCTGGGGCACCCTGGAGCCTCCAGGGGCTTTCTGAAGCCTTCTGGAAATTTCATCCTCCAGTTCTCGCTCGAAATGAAGCCCGAAGCTCCCTGCCGAGACTCTCTCCAGACTCCAGATGCATGCCTCGGGAGCCCAACTTTGACGATAAACACAAGTTCGAGATGACCAGCTCGGGTTAGTAACATGAGCTGGCGGCCCCATTGGAAGGACCCCCCCCCTCGAGATGCCATCTCAATTCACACAAAGACGAAGTTCCCGCTCTAGACGTTCTCCAGATTGATGGCTCAGGGACTCAGAAGTGATGGCAGTTACCGGGGATTGCCCGTTCGGGGAATTCCCGCTCGAGACTTCCTGTCAACTCGCTCTGAGACGAGGCTCCCGCTCGAGGCGTCCGTCGGACTGATGCCTCAGGAACCCAACAGTGACAAATTCTGGGCAACCCGCTGGGATGAGTAACATGAGCTGGCCGCCCCGTTGGGAAAGGGCTCCCGCGCGAGAATTCCTCTCAATCCGCTCAGACACGAGCATCCGGTTCGTAACCAGATTTTTCTACAACGCTCGTTCAGCAACACAAGCGGCGGATGAGAAAATGGGGGCACAACCAGCCGACAATCGTCCCACACGTCAGCAGTCAGCGCGGCGGCAAAGAGCAGCGATTTCCTTGTAACGCGAGTCGGCGCCACGGCCGTGGAAGAGATGGGTGGGAGTTCGAACACCCAACGCCAACGTCTGCAATGGCGCAAGTGCTTGTCAAAGATTTATAACCTGGTCTGGCAGCCCCGCAGGAAAGGGGCTCCCGCTCGGCATATCCTTTCCATTAGTCAGAAACGAAGTTCCCGCTCAAGACGTTTCCCAAATTCATGCCTCAGGATCTCAAACACGACGACTAGCACATGTTCTGGATGGCCCGCTCGGACTAATAACATAACCTTGCAGCCGGTAGGAGAGGGCTCCCGCTCGAGACTTCCTCTTCAACCGCTCAAGAACGGAATTCTCGCTCGGAAAGTCCTCTGGGCTCACGCCTCGGGAGCCCAAAACTAACGACGGCTACAAGTTCTGGGCGACACGCTCGGCTTAACAATCTGATCTCACGGCCCCATAATGATCAAATTTCCCCTCGAGACTTCCTTTCAATTCGCTCAGTGACGAAACTCCCGCTTGAGACTTTCTCTGAATTCATGCGTCCGGAATTCAAACGTGACGACAGGTGGATTCAATTCCAAGTTCTGGATGGTCCGCTCGAATTGGCGGCCACAGCTCCCGCTCCAGCTTTCATCACAATCCACTCAGAGACGAGGCTCCTTCTCGAGAGCTCCTCATGATGGCTGCGTGAATACGTGAGTGTGTGAGTAAGTGCGCGTGTGTGTGTGTGTGTGTGTGTGTGTGTGTATGTGTGTGATAGGTCCACGAAACGCGTGAGGGGTGTGCCGAAATGGGTACGGCGGCCGAATTTCGACACCGCCTCTGGGGCCTTCGGAAGAGCCCCCTATGCGGACACAAAAAGTATGAGGGGTGTGCCTGGATGGTTTGCGGTCGCATGTGGACCTGGTGACTGGGGCCTTCGACAGAGCTCCCTATGGGGCCACGAAACGTGTGAGGGGTGAGCGGCCGCATGTGGACATGGCCGCTGGAGCCTTCGGCGGAGCTCACTATGGGGCCACGAAAAGTGTGAGGGGTGTGCCGAAATGGTTGGGGCGTCCGCATGTGGACATGGCCACTGGGGCCTTCGGAGGAGCTCCCTATGGGGCCACGAAGCGTGTGAGGGGTGTGCCGAAATTGATACAGCGACCGCATGTAGACATGGTCGCTAGGGCCTTCTGCGGAGCTCCCTATGGGGCCACGAAGCGTGTGAGGGTGTACCGAAGTGGATTGACATATGGAGGGCAGAGGCCTGGATGGGAGGCTGGAGTAGGAGAAGGGATGAAGGAAGGAGTGAGTGACGCAAGGCGCTGTCTCTTCTCTGAATGAGGACCCAACACCACATGATGGTTGGGAAAACGTAACGTGTTTTACATCGGGCACCCCAAAATACAAACCGGTAAGAAAAACGCCCAATATGCTTCACACTGAACCAACATCGAATAACGGCACAGCATAAAAAACGGTCCCTGGGAAGGGGTCCAAAACTGCGGGGCTCCGCGCTATAATAACAAATCGTGACAGCGGGGGTCTGGGACAGGATCGGCGCGTGCAGCTGAGTTGGCGCCCATCCCAAAACCCAGCAGAATTAGCGCTCAAAATCAGCTCCCAAGCCCCTCAAGGGTCCTCTATCTTGTGCATTTGTTCACCCTGGATCCACTTTTCCGGACCCAGGGCCCAAAAACGGACCCCAGAGGCCGAATGAGGCAACGAACCTTCGCGAACCCAGGACCTCGATTCTCCTCCACCCCTCCTGCTCGCCAGAGCCAGTGTGCTGGGCCACCTCGGAGCCCCAGCCGACTCCAAGGCGGAATGTGCGCAGGCATCTCGCATAAATGCGCCAGAACTCCTCCTCTCGGCGGCGAGCCAGTGGCAGAAGTGACAAAGGGCGAGCCTTCTCAAAAGGCTCGGAAGTCCCCCGGCCTTCCGAGCATTTTTCTAAGCCATTCCCGAAGACGCAGAAAAACTCTCAGAAGGCTCGAGGGGGCTTCTGAGAAGCACAGCCGCCGTCTGAGAATGCCCGCCCCTTCTCACTTCCCCCCTGGGCTCGCGGCCGATCCTCGCTCACCTTCTTCGGCACCAGCCGGTCGATCTTCCGCCCCAGCCGCCTGTCCATGCGCAGAGCCGCCTCCGCACAGTCGACGGCGGGGAGCGGGCGGGGCACGCCTGGCCTCCAACCCCCCTGGAAGTCAGGATTGGGACGCCGAGGGACATTCGAGTGCGATGCGCAGCCCTTATCAGAGGCACCTGTGGTGCGCAGCTTCACAGGGGACGCGGGGTGGCCAAGCATGGGCGCGCAAGCAACTGCTACCGCTTCGCTTTCAACGATCGGGGGACCCCGTTGGGCCCGCATCAAAGGCCAGTCCGGCGAAAGGGTACTCGTACGTGTAGCCGACCTTCGGAGGCGCACGTCCAAACCGGACATACAGCACTAACATCCTAAAGCAGATCGTTACCCAGGCGGCATGGGGCAACGAGCAAATACTATAAGATGTCTGGGCGCGCGCATCGCCACTGGGGGGGGGCGGCGACATACACACAATGTAATAGTGCCTGGGCGAGGCTGAAAGATGGCAAGAACCAATCCGAGAAATCCACGCGGCCCTCCAACAATTGATGCCTACGCCGCTTTCTATTCTTCGACCCTCTCCTCCCCTAGGACGACACCGATCTCATGATGCAATCGGCTCTGGACACGTTCCAAGAATCCCGGAATATCTAGCGGCGCTCGTCTCTGCAACCCGTGCTCGACCTGGAACCGCCGATACATCACCGATGAATCAGCTATATGCCCCCGATAGCGCATCCGCACGGTCATTGACGGGGCGGGCCATCGAGCCCCCATCGGTAACCAATGGGCCATTGGAGGTCGATGCGTCCCCCTCTGAGCCTATCCGCCCCTACCGTTTCCCCGTGGCTGTCGGGTTATGACTGGGACGATCTGGGTACCCTCAGAACGCTCGAGGCGCAGCTGCTGGAAGTCACCCCGAGGCTGGAAACCCGCCGAGGACGTACGAAAACGCCCGAACACCTCGAACTTCGAGCCCGTCAGTCGATCGACAGCAACAGAACTCGGCCAGGCTGGACTCGGCAGGCTAATCTCGGCCAGGCTGACATCGGCCATGCTGAATTTGGCCCAGGCCCATTTCAGCCTGGCCGAGTTCAGCCTGGCCGACGCTAATCGAAACCACCCGACGCTAAATCGAAGCTAATCAACGCAAGATCGATGCTAAACCGGCGCGTTCACATCGGGGGGGGTCCCGGGGGGGGATCCCGGAGGGGCCGAATGTCGATGAGTGCGGGGTACTTGCATGCGCCGACCCTCCAATGTTGGTCGACGTCCAACTTTCGAGTCAGCTTCGGCCAGGCTATCTTTGCCCTCGCCCCGACATTGAAGGGGCGGCGTGTCGACGCTGAGGGGCGCGCCGAAATCGAAATGACGTGCCAGCACCTGTTGAGGTTAATTTCGACGAGGGTCGTAGTAGTAGTAGTGGTGGTGGTGGTGGTAGTAGTAGTAGTAGTAGTAGTAGTAGTAGTAGTAGTAGCAGTAGTAGTAGTAGTAGTAGTAGTAGTAGTAGTAGTAGTAGTAGTAGTAGTCGTAGTCGTGGTAGTAGTCGTAGTCGTAGTAGTAGTAGTAGTAGTAGTAGTAGCAGTAGTAGTAGTCGTAGTAGTAGTAGTAGTAGTCGTAGTAGTAGTAGTAGTAGTAGTAGTAGTAGTAGTAGTAGTAGTAGTCGTAGTAGTAGTAGTAGTAGTAGTAGTAGTAGTAGTAGTAGTAGTAGTAGTAGTAGTAGTAGTCGTAGTGCTAGTAGTGGTAGTACTAGTAGTAGTGGTAATAGTAGACGTAGTAATCGTACTGATAATAGGCATGGCACTCATATTACTCGACGCGGGGCTCCCCATATGTGCATCTCATTATCTTGGTACGTATTTCTCTTGATATGTTTCAATGGGCGCCTGTGTGCGAGGGCGAACCGCTCGCTCGAGACATTCCACAGTCTGCAAGCATGAGTGCGACCAAGAGCAAATCTGAGAGCGACTGATTCTGAGTGTGAGTTAATCTGGGTGCGATTGAGCCTGGGTTTGAGTGGGTATGCGTGTGAGTAAATATGAGCGCGAGTGCGTCTGTGTGCGAGTGGGTCTGAGTATGGACGAATCTGAGTGTGAGCCAGTCTGTGATTGAGCGGGTCGTAGCATGATGAGTCTGAGCATGAGTGAGTCTGGGCTTGAGTGGGTCTGAGTGTGAGAAAAAAATGTGTTAATGAATATGAGTGCGAGTGAGCCGAGTGTGATTGGGTATGGATGTGAGGCAGTCTGAGTGTGAGCCGGTCTGCGTTTGAGCGGACCGAAGGATGATGAGTCTGAGCAGGAGCGAGTCTGAGTATGAGTGGTTCTGAGCGTGATTCTGAGCGTGAGTAAGTTTAAGTATGGATATGAGCGAGTCTAAGTGCGAGTGAGCCTGCGTGTGACTGAGTCTGAGTATGAGTGAGTATGAATGCAGAAGAGTGAAGGAGAGCGGAGAGCGAAGGAGAGTGAGGCGGAAGCGTTTGAGTAAAACCTAAAGCCTTGGAACATCGAAACTCGATCGTCTGGCCCTGGCTACTCGAGTTGCCCACGTCCTCCTCCTCCTCATCATCATCATCATCGTCCTCATCATCATCCCCTTCCTGCTTCTGCTCCTACCGTGTTCATGCTGTCCTCCTTCTCGTCCTCCTCGTCCTCCTCCTCTTCCTCCTCCTCCTCGCTTCCTCCTTCTCTTCTCGTCCTCCTCCTCCTCCTCCTCCTCCTCCTCCTCCTCCTCCGCCTCCGCCTCCTCCTCCTCCTCCTCCTCCTCCTCCTCCTCCTCCTCCTCCTCCTCCTCCTCCTTGGGAGTGCTGAAACCAGCAAATCGCCTGAGACATCCTCCCAAAACTGCTCAGAAAACGACCAATGCCCAGCAGCATGACAGCCAAACCGCCTGAGACATCCCCGCAAACTGGGCGCGAACGTCCTCCAAATCTGCTCCGAAAGCGAAACATGTTGGAAGAGAAAATGGCCAAACCGCCTGAGACATCCCCACAAAATCCCGCGAAAGGGGCCGAGTACAATACCCCCCCGCCGCTCCCCTTAGATGGCTGAAACCAGAGAATTGCCTGAAACATCCTCCAAATCTGCTCCGCAAGCGAAACATGCTGGAAGAGAAAATGGCCAAACCGCCTGAGACATCCCCACAAAATCCCGCGAAAGGGGCCGAGTGAAATACCCTCCCGCCGCTCCCCTTAGAATGCTGAAGCCAGCGAATCGCCTGAGACATCCTCCAAATCTGCTCCGAAAGCGAAACATGTTGGAACAAAATTGCCAAACCGCCTGAGACATCCCCACAAAATCCCGCGAAAAGGGCCGAGTGCAATACCCCCCCGCCGCTCCCTTTAGGAGTGCTGAAGCCAGCGAATCGCCTGAGACATCCTCCAAATCTGCTCCGAAAGCGAAACATGTTGGAAGAGAAAATGGCCAAACCGCCTGAGACATCCCCACAAAATCCCGCGAAAGGGGCCGAGTGAAATACCCCCCCGCCGCTCCCTTTAGGAGTGCTGAAACCAGCGAATCGCCTGAGACATCCTCCAAATCTGTTCTTGAGTGATGAGTGAGTCTGAGTGATGAGTGAGTCTGAATGATGAGTGATGAGTCCGAGTCGTAACTTAGTCCGAGTGATGAGTGAGTCTGAGTGATGAGTGAATATGAGTGATGAGTGGGTCTGAATGATGAGTGAATCTGAGTGATGAGCGAGTGGGTCTGAGTGAGAGGAGTGGTGTGTTCTCTCTCTCTCTCTCTCTCTCTCCCCTCCGGCGCGACCCGCCCGTAACAAGAACCCCATACTTAGGATATGGGGAGTAATACGAATCTGAATAATAGTAATAAAGGATGTTTGCTCTTCGCGCGCAATAATTTTCCACGCTGCGCCGGCGGGCGCCCCATCCAGGGATTCCTACGGATTCCTATAGATTCTTGGGGGTTCCCCAGGGATTCCCTGGGATCGCTAGCGATTCCCCCAAACTCCAACAAATTTCTAAACATGCATGGAGATTCTTAAAGATTCCTCGGGATCCCGAAAGATTCCGACTCATCCCAAAGGATTCCTAACAATTCATCAGAATTCCTTTATTTTCCGATGGATTCCTTACGTTTCCTGAGAATTCTCCAACCATCCTGTGGTGGTGGGTCCTCGTTTCGAAGAGACGGTCCCCGCGTCATCCCTCCTTTCCTCCTCCCCCCCCCTCTCTTCCTCTCACCTGCCATCATCACCATCATCGTCATCATCATCGACGTCATCAGTACCATCACCCCTCACACGCTTCGTGGCCCCATAAGGAGCTCCACCGAAGGCCCCAGTGCTGCCAGCCGCATGCGTCCCGCACAAACAAGTCGGCACACCCCTCACACGTTTCGTGGCCCCAGAGGGAGCCCCACCGAAGCCCCAGTGCTGCCGTCCGCATGCGTCCCGCACACCCAATTCGGCACACCCCTCACACGCTTCGTGGCCCCAAAGACCAGTGCTGCCAGCCGCATGCGTCCCGCACACCCATTTCGGCACACCCCTCACACGCTTCGTGGCCCCATAGGGAGTTCTACCGAAACCCCACTGCTGCCGGCCGCATATGTCCCGCACACCCAAGTCGGCACACCACTCACACGTTTCGTGGCCCCCTAGGGAGCTGCACCAAGAACACAAGTGCCGCCGGCCGCATGCGTCCCGCACACCCATTTCGGCACACCCCTCACACGTTTCATGGCCCCATAGGGAGCTCCACCGAGGGCCCAAGTGCTGCCGTCCGCATGCGTCCCGCACACCCAATTCGGCACACCCCTCACACGCTTCGTGGCCCCAAAGACCAGTGCTGCCAGCCGCATGCGTCCCGCACACCCATATCGGCACACCCGTCACACGCTTCGTGGCCCCATAAGGAGCTCCACCGAAGGCCCCAGTGCCGCCGCCCGCATGCGTCCCGCATACCCAACTCGGCCACCAAAATCCCCAGTGCCGCCGCCCGCATGCGTCCCGCACACCCCTCACACTTTTCGTGGCCCCGTAGGGAGCTGCACCGAGGGCCCCGGTGTTGCCGGCCGCATGCGTCCCGCGCACCTATTTCGGAAACCTCTCACACGCTTCGTGGCCCCATAGGGAGCTGGTGGTCCCGACAAATTCCCTAAGGCCGATTTGTTCGTCGTCGTCGTCCGTCGTCGACGTCCGACCTGCGCGTTTCGCGGGGGCTCCGCGTAGCGCGGCGCCCGCAACCTTGAACTTTGGAGTGCGCAGGCAAAAAAAAGGGAACAAAGGCGAGGAGGCGGGCGCGATCCTCGTGTGGGGCGTGCCGACATGGGCGTCGCGGCGCGCGGGCGCTGCAGTCGGGGTTCCCAGGACAACTCCTTGCGGAGGCTACGCTCAGTTTCGCGAGTTCTCAGACTCAGGCAGACCCAACACATTCACAGTCGTACGCATTTACACTCAACGACTTCATGCTCGCAATCATGCAAATAGAATCCATCGCACGCGTATTCAGAATCACACTCGCGCTTAGACTCGCCCGTGCTCAAGGTGTCAAACTCAAACATATCGTTTTCGTTCGTGTTGTGTACTCTATCACACAATTCGGCACACCCCTCATACGGTTCGTGGCCCTATAGGGAGCGCCACCGAAGAATATATGTACAATTTCGGTATTCACAACTGCGTATGGTTGGGTCCTTCGCCAGGCTGGTGTTTGGGACGTTGTTGTTGTCGTTCTCTCCCATCCCCCTGCCCCCACACGCCAGGGGGGCTGCCCCGTCTGCATCAACAACAGCAACACCACCAACAAAAACAACCTCATCAACTTCAACAAAAGCAGCACCACCAACAACAACGCCATGTGAAGGGCGAGATTGGCAAGCAACTTCGGACACGAATTCATATATAGGGGCGGTACTGTTGTGCTACAGCGGATGTGGGGCAATACGACAGCTTGACACAAACAACAAACACCATGCGACGTAATCGACCCACCTGCATTAAGTGACAAGCGATATTGGCCCAAACTTGCCAGGTCGATGGTGGCGCAGGCGCCTTTTATACGTTGCGCAAGCTACGTGAGGCGCGCTCACGTGGCACGATCCGCAAAACAACCCCCCCCCAAAAAAAAAAGAACGAAAACCCACGCTTGAGGAGGACATGGGGGCAAAAACGAAGGGCAGGAAACGGACGCGCGGGGGGGCGACCCGTCAGTGCGGCTGCAACAGAAGGGAGGTGGCAGGGAACAGAAAACGACGACGAAAGTGACGGAAAACGTCCGATGAGTGTTGCTTGTGCCAGCGGTACGCTAAAGATGCAGCGCTGCCTGCGCCATGTCGCCGCGGCGCTCGACAAAGTGATTCAACCAGCGTATACTTTGTGCAAACAACGAACGAGGCCCAGTTCGCCCGCCAACTTCCCTGCTTCCTCCCTGCACTTTTCACTGCGGGAAATCAACGCTCGAAGGTGCGCCGCCGGGTCTGCGGGCGGCCCGCGACAGCGCCCCGCTGGATCCCCAAGCCGCCCTCGAAAGTGGCGACAATTTCGCATATCGCAGCCCCACAGGGATGGCGAGGTCTAATCTGAGTCAGCGTGGGACGTCGCTCCGCTGGACCCCCGAGCAGCTCTCGAAACTGGCGACAGTTTCGCAAATCGAAACCCCACAATGTGTGAGGTCAAATTTGGGTGTGCGTGGGACGTCGCTCCGCTGGACCCCCCAGCAACCCTCGAAAGAGGCGACAGTTTCGCAAATCGCAGCCCCACAGGGATGGCGAGGTCTGATCTGAGTGTGCGTGAGACGTCGCTCCGCAGGACCCCCCAGCCGCCCTCGAAAGTGGCAACAAATTCGGAAATCGCACCCAAGGATGGCCAGGTAGGAGGCAAACCGGCACGCAGGAAGGAACGAGGTGAGAGGCACGAGAGAAGGGGGAGAGGGAGCGGGATGGTGTGCGACCGCACTGTTCTATCCAAAACGAGAACTCAACGCAGGAGGGCTGGGGAACAAAAATAACCTGGCGAAAGACCAAGCAAAATGCAGCTGTGAATACTGAGGCCGTAAGTCTCGTCTTCGAAAGAGCCCCACTAGAAGACCACGAAGCGCTGTACCAAGCGGGGGAGACGCATGCGGGCTGCAACTCTGGGGCCTTCGGTGGGGCCACGAAACGCTGTACTGGGTGTGGGAGACGCATGCGGGCTACGCCACTGGGACTTTCGGTGGAGCTCCCTATGGGGCCACGAAGCGCTGTACTCGGTGTGGGAGACGCATGCGGACTAAGCCACTGGGACCTTCGGTGGAGCTCCCTATGGGGCCACGAAGCGCTGTACTGGGTGGAGAGGCGCATGCGGGCTGGGCCCCTGCGAATCTCAGTGGCGCTCCCTACGGGGCCACGGAGCGCTGTAGTGGGTGTGGGAAACGCATGCGGGCTACGCCATTGGGACCCTCGGTATAGCTCCCTATGGGGCCACGAAGCGCTGTACTGGGTCGGGGAAACGCATGCGGGCTGCGCCACTGGGACCACCGGTGGAGCTCGCTATAGTGCCACGAAGCGGTGTACTGGGTGTGGGAGACGCATGAGGGCTGCGCCACTGAAGCGTTCGTTGGAGCTTCCTATGGAGCCACGAAGCGCTGTACTGGGTGGGGGTGAGGCATGCGGGCTGCGCCACTGGAACCTTCTGTGGAACTCCCTACAAGACCACGAAACGCTGTACTGGGCGCGGGAGACGCATGCGGACTGCGCCACTGGGACCTTCAATGGAACTCTCTATGGGACCACGAGGCGCTGTACTGGGCGCGGGCGACGCATGCGGACTAAGCCACTGGGACCTTCGGTGGAGCTCCCTATGGAGCCACGAAGCGCTGTACTGGGTGTGGGAGACGCATGCGGGCTAAGCCACTGGGACCTTCGGTGGAGTTCCCTATGGGGCAACGAGGCGCTGTACTGGGCGCTACGGAGGAGGGAGGACGGGAGGAGAGGGAGTAGGAAGGAAGGATGAGGGATGCGGGGCGCTGTCTCTTCAAAACGAGGGCACATCACCACAGGATGGTTGGGAGTAGCACTACACAAGAAAACGAAGAGGGGGAGGAGGACGCGAAAACAAAGAACACACCAAAGCCAAAACAACAACGCCCAGAAAAAATGTGGGGGCCCTCGCCGGGCCCCGTGACCGTCATCAACAAACCGACTCAGGATGCAAAGGCGACCCTGGAGAAACATTCGCCACTTCCGTGGCGCCCGTACTTAGAGGAACCAAACACGGCAGACATATATTATTTTCTCTGAAGTCCGCGCGGACTTCTTGGATCGGTCTGGGCCCCCCTCCCTGGCACGCGGAGCGAGCCAAGGACGGCGACGGAGGCGCCGCCAAGGCGCTCCAGCGCCGATCTGAGAAATCCGCGCGGACCTTTGAAGGTGAATGTGTATGTCATGTGTTGTTCTCCGATCCTCCTCTTTCCAAAACAGCGTTTCGCTAATCAGATGGCGCTCATCGTGGGGAGATGTACACAAGAATCCCTCAGGGAGGGCAAGTAACCCCAAGCCGCCTCCCCAGATCGCCGGGTCCGGCAACCGTTTCGCCCAACACTTATTCGCTTTGTGTTTAGGCACCATGTTCTCGCCTATTGTTGGTCTGGACGGCCACGATTCCTCGACAAGAACGGCACCAAGGTGCACATGTCCGTGCTGTCACCCCTGTCCCTTGTCAGAGTGAGGGGGCCGAACGGTAATTCATTGCCCCTGGGTGCGTGGCTGAAAAAGGAATCCGTGGTGAGGATTCGGCTTGCTGAAGTGTTGTTGTCGTTGTGTGTTGTCGTCGTCCCCCCCGCGACCCACCCCGCGACCCACCCCTCGACCCACTCGCGACCCAAATCGCGACCCACCCGCGACCCACCCGCGACCCACCCCGCGACCAACCCGCGACCCACCAGTGACCGATCCACATTGGTTTGAAGAAAAAATTGGCGCCTGCGGCGGGCTCGTTGTATAATTTCTGAAACTTTGGCACCTGCGGCGGGCTTCTCCAGAGTCTCGCAGACTGCCGACGTCCCCACCGCCCCCTCACACTTATCCGCATCTGCGGGGTGCTACGTAGCCGACCTTCTACTCAACGACCCACTTCTTCACCTCTGCTGCTATTAAGTTGCTTTGCTGGGGCAACGTTCCTGTTCTTTGACGGTTCGCCATGCGTTTTCGGTTTCCTTCGTCTGGTTGCCACATGTGCACATCTGACTGCCCACGCGTCCGTCTGGATGCTTGGCCCTGCTCTGCTCTCAGCAGTTAAGATTTTTCTTTTTTGAGAAAGGAAAGGGGCGACTGGGTGTTCGGCGGCTTCGCGTCGCGACGACACTCGACACTGGCTTCTGACACTGCGCGCGTCAGCCAACCTTCAGCGATCGCGGCCTTCCGAAGATGCTTTCAAACAAAGAACAAACTGCATAAACAGAGCATGCTGACGGTCCGAACGGATTTCTAGAATCTGAGCTGGACCCCCTCTAGCGAGCGGAACGCACGAGAGGCGGTGCCAAGGAGGCCAGGCGCTGATCCGAGAAATTCGCGCGGACCGTCGAAACTATATGTATATGCAATGTTATCTTCTTCGACTTCCGATGGCACCTCTTTGTTCGATCATCAGCCGACTCGGGGCCACTGGCGAGCACGCAGCTTTGAACGTCAACCGCCGAGACCGTCGCCACGTCGGCGCGGGGCAAGCCTGCCCCGCGAAGAGATCAGGGCCCCCCATCGACGGAAAATTTGACAAACCACGATTTTTCACGCGTCCGAAAAAATGAAGCCATGAATCGAACTATTCTTCTGTGGCAACTCACAGGGACCTCCCGTGCCATCTGGTTGGCTCCTGCGAGCCGGCGTGAATCAACGCTTACTTAAGTCGGCGCCATATCCTCGGCCACCAGGATCTGATCGCCGCTACTTCACTCTCACAACGGAATGACGAGGGTAAACCAAATCCCCATAACTGGCCACCAACACATTATGTGATATTCGTCCCCTTCTGGTGGAATGTTCAAAGTCCCCGTTGGCAATGTCCTGACCCTGGTGGCCCTGAAAACGCACCTGTGCCGCTCCCCCGGATGAAGGCGTCGAAGTCCCACGCCTCCTTCTCCAGGACCCTCGACCTCAGTGGGCCCTGGAAGCGACAGGTTGGGTAAGCCTTCGTGGGAGCTTCCGTGGACCTCCGCGGCCCTATCAGAGGCGCGATTTCGACCAAATTCTCCAAAACTTCCACCCCCCAGCTTCACCCTTTTGTCCACACGTCGCCCAGATGTCGAGCAACGCCGAAGAAATCCAAACGACCCCCCTCCCCGAAACCGCCGCAGAACGGAGCCTGTTTCTGGATTTTCCGCGATGGCGGCCGTCACTGGCCCCGCCCACCCCCCCCTTTCCAAATGATGTCACGTTCCGCGCTGACACCGTCCAGGCATGCCTAGGTATGGCCGACGCCACTTAGGAGCAGCATGTGGGTGGCGATCTGCACAACAGCACATACGTACACCGCAGCAGCCGTGTGCAACGCTGCGCACGTGTACGCCACAGTGCTTGTGCGCACCACAGCGACTGTGTAAACCACAACGAACGTGTACACCGCAGCAGCCGTCTGCCACACCTCAGTGCTCGCGTGCACCGCAGCGCCAGTGCACACCACAACGCCTGTGTACACCACACCTTCCGCGTGCAATACAGTGCCGGCGCAGACCACAGCGCCTGCACGCACAGGACCGATAGAAGACGCACCACAGTTCCATGCCACAACACCCCCATGCTACAACGCCTCCCGCTGCAGTGCCTCCACAATGCCCCGCGCGTCAAGCAAACTCCTTCTGGAGGACGCCGCCCCTGTTTTTGTGAGCGCCCCGATCCCCAAAGCACGGCACCTCCTCCTGCTCGTCCCCGTCCTCCTCCTATTCGTTTCCCTCTTCCTTGTCCTCCACTTCCACCTCGTCCTCCACGGGAGTTCTGCTAGATTCTGGAAGCGTTTCTTTTTCCATGCGAATTCCTTGAATCCACAAACGTTCCATCCTGTCATGTGGTGCACACAGGCGCCGTGGTGTACACAAGCTCTGTGGTTCACGCAGGCGCTGTGTTGCACACGGTTGCTGTGGTGTACGCAGGGACTGTTGTGTACACAAGCGCTGTGGTGCTGGCGGTGTGCTGCACGCGGCTGCTACGGTGTACATCGGCGCTGTGGCGTACGCAGGCGCTGTGGTGCACGCGGGCACTGTGGTTGACACAAACGCTGGGGTACAAATCGCGACCTGCATGCTGCTCCTACCCGTCCCAAGTCATTCCTAAGCATTCGCAGACGCCGCCGGCGCGAAACGTGACGTCACCGGCCCCCGTCCCCCCCTTCCCGTGCCCAGTGACGGCCGCCATCGCCCCGGAATGAAAGAAACAGGCTCGCTGCGGGATCCTATGAGGCTCCCATGAAGGACGACACACGACATGGCACTTTCTGTTCCAGTTCCGTTTGGCCGTGTTTGGATTTGTTTCCCTGCTCCGTCGCCCGTGTTTTGCGGTTCTACCTCAAGTTCCATTCCTGGAGCCGTTTTGTTTCCGTTTCTGGGGCCAGTGTTGCTGTACCGCCCCCACGTTCCAAACGCATTCGGTTAAACACTGCAGAGAAGACGGCCCTGCCGCTGCCGGGGCCCACCATAAGCCCTCGACGGGGCCACCGCCTGCAGGAACGCGGCGGTGTCCATGTCTGAGATGGCCTCTAGGCCCTTCCTCGCGGCCGCGAAGCCGTCGGCCGTGAGTGGGGCCCAGCTCGGCGGGAACGGGCTGACCGGCTTGGCGACCTCTCCGCCCATCCTGCGCGCCACCGCTCGGGCTGCTCTCGTCCCTCCAAGACTGCCAGGGGCTTCCCTGGCCCCGGAGACAACCCCCAACCCCCAGCGGCCTCCGGCGCGCCGCTCTGGACGCCCCTGGGCCTCCCCCCTAGGCCTCGTGAGGGGGGGGCAGGCCTGGGCTGGGTCGGATTGCGAACTCGGATCGGGTCGGAAACAGATCCATCGGATCGCCTACGGATCGTCCCGACTCGAATCAAAATCGGATCGCCACGGCTGGCTCAGGCTGGCCCCTGCCGATCCCGGTGAATCCCAACGAACATCCAAGAGGTCTTAGACCCAGAACCCAAGCACGTCTGCGGGATGGGTCGAAGGCCATTCTAATCCACCGCCCCCTCTTGCTTACCACAGGGGTGCACGGCGTGCCGAATGTCTTGCAGTTCTGATTCTCTCTCAAGACCTCCCTGTGAGGCTTCAATCCAACCCGCCAGGCGCGCGGGAAGCCCAGGTCTCCGTTGGCCCCATCGCGCCCAAGACGGCCAAGATGGTCTCCAAGACGGCTAAGATGCCTCCAAGATGGTCAAGATGGCCCAAGACGGCCTCCAAGACGGCTAAGGTGGCCCCAAGACAAGATGTCCTCCAGACGGCCCAGGAAGCCCCTCAGACGCCACAGCAGGGCCCCATGAGGATCTCCAGGATACCACAATCATTGATTGTCCTGGAGTTGTTCAATGATTTTAGCGTTCTCGCCTGTTTGGGCATCCGACGCTCTTAGACGGGCCCACAAGTCGTCCCAAGATGGACCTAGAGGAACCCAAGAGGCCGGCAAAACGGCCGACAAGGAAGCCAAGACAGCCCAAGATGCCCCCAAGACGGTACCAAGATGCGCCGAAAGAAGGTCCCACGACTGCCCAGGGAGGACCTCGGACGGCCTCTGAAGGCCAAGCGGCCCCTCCAGGAGGCCAAATTCAATGATGTTTTGTAAATTGTTAAATGGTGTTAGTGTTCTCGCCTGTTCGGGCATCCGACGCTCCAAAACGGGCCCATAAACCCCAAACATCGCCCTAAAGACGGCACGAGAGGCTCCCAGAAGGCCGGCAAGACGGCCAAACAGGACCCCAAGACAACCCCCCGAAGACTGCACCAAGACGGCCTAAGAGACCTCCAAGATGGCCTGAAGCGCCCGAAGTGGCACCCACGACTGCCCAGGGAGGGCCAAAGACGGCCTCTGAAATCCAAGAGGCTACGTAGACGCCCCAAAAGGGCTCCAAGAGGATTTCCAGGAGGCTTGCATCCTTGTTCTCCTGTGGCCGCTCAATGTTTTTAGCGTTCTCGCCTGTTCGGGTTTCCGACACCCCACGACGGGCCCGTAGGCCGACAAGGTCTCCCCAAGACGGCCCAACATGCCCCCAAAAGGCCCGCAAGACGGCCCTCAGGCAACACAGTAAGCCCCGAAGACGGCCCCAAAAAGCTCCCAGAGGGCCATAAAGCGGTCCCCACGACAGCCACGAGGTTCCGTGGAGGCACCCAGAGGCCTCTAAGCGGTCCATAAAAGAGCCCCAGGAGAACCCCAAGGGGCCCCAGGAGGCTCCCAAGAGGCCCCTTGCAACCCCCCAAAAGGATCAAAGGAAGTCCCCAGGAAGCCGAAGAGGGCTTCAAGAGGCATTTCCTTTTTCCTGTTTCTCCTTCTCCTGCCTATCCTCCTCTTTCCTCATCCTCTCCCCAGCGCTCCCCAAAAAAGAAAGGCATGAGGTGTGACGCGGTGGCCAGATCACGCGCGGCCATCGACAACCCCGCAGCTGCGCTGGGGACCCCGGCTGGATTGCACCGGTGCAATCGCGGGGATTTCACACAGGAGGACCAGGGAGGGAGGAAAAGGAGGAGCCGCAGCATGAGGAGAAGGAGGAAGAGGAAGGAGAAAACCGCAGAGCTAGGGCGTGGAACGAAAAATGCGGGCGCAAGCGCCCAGAGGGAATCCAACACAACTTTGTTGAGCTGCGCTGAGTTGGTCCTGTGAATTCACACGCGGGAAGCCCGAGAAAAGGGCGCACAAAGGCCCCCCCAAATGGCCGGCAGGAGGCCCAACGGCATCCTCGCCCAAAGTGAAGGACGCACGACCCCAATCAGTGCGACACGGGCGGGTGGACTGCGGGGCAAAAGCGGGGTCCGCCCCACTTTTGGGTTGGGACCCAGCGTGCTCCGGAGGAGCGTTTCCAGAGCACGCTGGTGCACAAAGGAGGAGGAGGAGGACGAGGAGGATGAGGAGGAAGAGGAGGAGGAGGAGGAGGAGGAGGAGGAGGAGGAGGGCGGAGGGGCAGAGCCTGATACAAAATGCCACAGATTCTCATCACCAGGACGCGTGCCCTGCGCTACGGAGACAATGAATCGCACCGCGGCGGGGGATTGAATTGCGCACTTTCGACTCCACGGACGCGGAGGAGGAGGAGGAGGAGGAAGAGAAGGAGGAAGGAGGGGAGGAGCAGCGAGGGGGGGTACTGCCTTAGCAAAATGACGCGCCTGAGCGTCAGCTCAGGCGCGGCGGCCCCGGGTCCACGTTGCCGGGGTGCCCGGCCCTGGCCTCCGCGCTCGGGTCCAGGGGCTCCTCGGGGTCGCCGTCGTCCACGCCCATGCAGGGCCACCACTTCAGCACCATCCGCGCTGCCCGCCGCCAGATCTCGACCGAGATCCTCGCCATCATGCACCGCTCCTCGACGCGCGGCTCCGTGCCGCGACGTCTCGCGGTCCGCCGTGCCAGGGGCCGCACGGCCGCGAGGGAATCGGGGTGCGGCCTGCCGAAGCAGGAGAAGGTGATCGGCCGGTACACGATCCCCTGTCTCTCGAGGGCCTCGGTGTGGGGTTCCATGCGCGCGCGTGCGCACGCGCATGGCCCCGGCGCGGTCTGAGCCTGCCCCCGCGGCCGCGGGACTCTTGATCCCCATATCCAGCGCCGCCGAACGCCCCGTCAGACCGGAGGCGCTAATCAGAATGTCCGCAGGGCGGAACGCTGGGTGCATAGGCACCAATCCCGTCGGCTCGAGCTCGGCGCCCGCGTCGACACCCAAGGCCATCGCGAAGATCTCGTCCCGAACGGCGTTGTGGCCGCGTGTGCTGGGGCCCTTGGCGCAGAGCATGGCGTGAGTGCCCGCTCTGCCAAGGATGCCCCCGTCGCAGTTGGCGCAAGCCACCGGCTCGTCCGGCCCGGCGCAGCCGAGACGGATCCAGGCTGCCATCGTGAACTCGCTATCCGTCAAAGGCTTGCCATTCGTGCGAGCACCCGGGGTCGGACAGGTGGAACAAACGCCGCTCGTCTTCCCAAGCCCCGCTCACGCGGTGGCGCTGCAGGAGGCCACGGGCCACGGCAGCGTCAACGTACCTGACCAGGTCGCGCTGCAACTTCGGGCCGCCGCTCCCCCGGGGCGCAGCTGGATGCTCGTCGTCCTCCGTCCCGGCGTCGGGGACGACTCCGGCTCCTGGCCTCCTGTTTCCCCGAGGCGCGCCAGGCTCGTTTTCCTCGTCTGGCTCAGGCTCCTCCCCGGCGCACCAGGACCTCCACCGAGCGGAGGCTGCCGCTGCGGCCCCGTCGATGGCAAGCCTGACCTGCTCGCGCACCTGCGCCGGCAGCGTCGCCAGCGCGCGAGCGCTGCCTCTGTGCGGGCGTCGTACACATGCATGAGCATGTCAGTGGAGCACAGGCCCGCTTCGTGCAGATGCTCGGCCATGGCGAACATCATCGGCCTGGACGCCACCCTGCTGGCGACGAAGGCCGGCAGAGCGAGGCCAGTTGCCTCGCGCATGCCCAGGCCGCCTTCGTCCACGCCCAGCGCGGCTTGCACCCAACCTTCGTCGGTCAGCTGGCCGAAGAGGGCGTCCTCGATGCCGCTGCGGAGGCCGGAGTCGAGCTGCTGCACGACCTCCTCCGATATCCGATCGCCGTCGCAGCGCAGGATGTACCCCGCCTTGCTGACTTCCAGGCACCGGCGCTGAAGATGACCTCGCACTGCGGGCTGTCGAGCGTCTGGACTGCCTCCCGGAGCGCGGCAGTTTTCGCGATCACCGCATCTCGGCGTCTGCAGTCCCGCCGGGGCCGATTCTTGCCCCCAGCACCTCGGCGGGGTCGGCAAGGCGACGCACTTTGCACTTGTCGCCGATATATCCTGCCTCCCAGCCGGCAAAATCCGCCGCGCGCCCGGGGGGGGGGCGCAGAGGCGGGCGACGCTCTTGCATTCCGCCCCCGTGTTCCTCGACGCTCCGATGCCGGCGAGGGCGGCGTCGAGGGAGCGCAACCAGGCCTCCGCCAGCTCCACTCGCACGACGGCCTGGCCGTCGTCGATAAACCACTCGTCAACGGCTCCTCTGCCTCGCCCGACGTGCGCGGCCATGCGTTCCCTGTGCACAAGGACGCTCTCGCCGAGCGGAGGATGAGGACCCGAAGACGTCCCCTTGGCCACTGCCCCGGTCGGACACGACCACGCGGCCGGACGGGAGCTCAATCTCGTCTGGGCGTGCGTGCGCCCAGTGGTACCACGCCGATGCCTCCTTAAAGTGCTTGTCTACGGCGTCCCTGATCCTGGGCCACTCCACGGCCCCGAAGAAGTTGGCGAGGTCGACGTCGAAAAGGACGACGGGCGCCAGGAGCCCCTCGCGTGCGAGCGCCTCCACAGTGAAGCGCCAGGGCACGCACGCCTCGGCGCCGTCTGGCGTCTCCACGCCCCACTGGTGGAATGTCCTGGCTGGGGGAACGCATAGTCAAATAGCTTGGCCAGACTTCGTCACAACGTTTGGCCGCATGGGCGTTTCCCAAAGACATGGGGGCGGCGGTGCTTCGTCGCAGGCGTCTGGTATCATAAGCACGTATATGCTATGCATATATGAACCTACGCACCTACATGCGTCGCACGGCTTCCGGCGTCAGCTCGCATTACTTTTTCGGGCCCAAGAGGGCCCCGAGATGAGCCACGAGGGTCCCGAGAGGCCCACAAGACAGCCCAAGACTGCCCCGAATCGCTGAACAATCGGTCCAAGACGTCCAAGATGTCCTCCAGCCGGCCGACAAAAGCGCCCACCTCCGAAACCCGTTCCAAGAAGGCCCCGAAACGCCGACATCATTGACTGTCCTTGGGTTTCTCAGAATGTTTTGTGAATCCTTCACGTTCGAGCGCCCGACGCTCCAGGACGTCTCCAGAGACTCCCGAGACCGCGCCAAGATGGCCCACGATGTCCCAAAGAGAGCCCCAAGACGGCCCACGAGGCGCCCACGACGGCCCAAGAATGCTTCAGGACGGCCCTAATAGAGGCCCAGGAGGGGGGACCAGAACCAAACTTCGGAGCCTTCCCCCCCAAGATGCACCCAGGAGACCCAAAGAGGCTTCCAGGAGGCCCCAAGAGGCCCCCAGGAGACCCCCAGGAGGCCCCCAAGAGGCCCCAAGAGTCCCTAAGGCGGCCCCCAATAGGCCCAAAAACGGCCCACTAGAGGCCGAGAGGCCCCCCGCGACATCCCAACGCACACCCTGGTGGCGGGATTGACCGAAAGCCATTCTAGATATATGCACAAAACTCTGTTGGCGCTTCGCGATGTGCAACTTGGTCCGTGAAGTTTGGCATGCAGGCGGACAGGCAAGAAGTAAAGCATATTTCTGTTGCGATAACTCCTCGTTGCGTTTTCTGGCATCGTTGTGGTAGTAATGTTATTCGCTATCCTTCCCGCATGTTTCCTAGTCCTCTTCCAAATTATCGTCTTAACCTGCGAATTACTCCCCATCCTCCTCAGCCCTTTTTGCAGAGATTTCTCCTTGAAGAGTCTCTTGGGGGGCTCACTAAAATGCTCAAAAGCTTCTTGGGCCATCGGGAGGCCTCCTGGGCGCCGTCTAGGGGCCTCAGGGGACGTCCTCGGGCCACCGTGCTTCCAACCGCGGTCTCCCTGAACGACGGGATCACGATTTGGAATGCTTCGGGGGGCGTCTTGGGACCACCTTGGGACTGTCATGGGGCTCTCTCTTCGGGCCATCTTGGGGCCCTGTTGGGCCGTTGGAATTCTCTTGGACTGCCTGAACGTCGGTTGTGGGTAAAGTTTGGGCGAATTTCGGGCCTCATAGGGGGGTCTGGGACGCCCGGGAAACGGAAGAACAGGGCATCCCCAAAATCAGACAACGAACTACAGGAAATTCATGGCTTCTGCACTTCAAAAACGTCTTGGAAGTCTTCTTTGGGTCGTCTTCGGGCGTCTGGTGAATGTCTGGGGCATCTTGGGCCTCTCGCGGGGCCGTTCGGTCGCCCTCCTGACCGACTTGGGCCAATTGTCCGTTGCCTAAGCCAAGCAGCGGCGTCCAGGGTCCCGGAAAACCCGAGGACCTTTTGCAGGGGCGTCCAGGACACCCCTGGAAACTACGGCTCCCGGGGTCCCGTTTAGGGGTGGGGGCATGCCCCCCGATCGCAAAACAAATGTACATACATGCATACATACATACATACACACATACATACATGCATGCATGCATGCAGACAGACAGACAGACAGGCAGACAGACATAGTTACTTACGTACTTACATACATACATGCTTGCATACACCTACCTACCTACCTACCTCCATCCATCCAGCCATCCATCCATGCATGCATGCATGCATGCATACATGCATACATACATACATGCATACATACATCAACACATACATACACAACTACATGCATACATACATACATACATACATACATACATACATACATACATACATACATGCATGCATGCATGCATGCATACATACATACATACATACACATACATACATACATACATACATACATACATACATACACACACACACATACATACATACATACATACATACATACATGCATGCATGCATGCATGCATGCATGCATGCATACATACATACATACATACATACATATATACACATACATACATACATACATACATACATACATGCATACATACATGTATGCATGCATGCATGCATGCATGCATGCATGCATGCATTCATACCTACCTACCTACATACATACGTGCATGCATGCGTGCATGCATGCACACCTATACATATGTGTATATCCGTGTATAAATAGATAACCGAAGGCAAAACATAGAAACAAACACCACCGCGGAATGAGGTCTGGGCCTGGCAGTGCAGTCGGGTGCGCCGAAAAGGGGGTGCAGAACGAAGGGGTTGAGCACATCATGGCCCGAGGCATGTGCGCGGACGAGGGAGGGGCCCAGGAAATGCGTTGAAAGAAACGGAGGGGGCAAAGCAATCAAGGAGATGTCATGGCCCCTGGCCCAGACATCCGACGACGCGACGTTTTCAATGCGCGGCCCCCGAGGCCCCGACCCCTTCCACGGAGGCCAACGTTCGTCCTGCATCCATGGCATGCTGATGGCCCCAGGGTCCGCTGAACGGGCCCCGTGGAGGCCGCGCAAAGAAAAACGCCAGATTGACCAAAACATTCCACATACTCTTGGCTTCTGGATCTCAAGTCGGGTCTCAGGCTGCCGTTAGGGGACCATCAAGGCACCCCGGGAACGCTCTCGACGAGGCGCCACCCTGGAAGCTGGACTGGAACCACCAAACAAGTATCGGAAAACCGCAGATAACCCCTCCTTCGTCCGAACCTCTGAACCTCCCCACCCACACCCCCGAAGAGGGCGCCAACTATACACCTACACCGATCCTGGCTAGGCCCGTTCTGGGGCCAGGATTAGGATATACGCCCTCCTGGCTTAAATAAGAAGACATCAGCACTGATCCTGGGCCCAGGAACGGTGTAAAGGTATTGTATGGATGGTGCCCTCCAACACCCCTGAGATCCGACGGCATGGAAAAACTACGACGTCGTGACAAAAAAACACGACCAGAGACATATATCCCATCATTCTGCTAAACTTGTCGAGCTGGGTCGATCTGTGATGGTCCTGGGGGCCGAAATGCCCAGTGCGAAAACATTGCAGCCCCCAGATCTCAGGGATCCCCTCTTGAACGCCCCCGACACCAGCTGCTCGCCCGCCGCCCCACGGGGCCTGGAGTCTCAGGGGGCAACTCCTGGGAGGTCTTCGTCAGAACGCTGAAGGCTTATGGAGCCCGCTTGAGTCGGCAGCGAGCGAGGGGGGGGGGCGAGGAGGAGCCTTCTCAAAGGCGGCGAGGTTTCTCAGAAGCCCTCCGGCCTTCTGAAAAAATGTGTGACTGCGGGGAACCGGGATCTTCCGAACCTTCTGAAATGACCCGCCCCCTCTCACTTCGCCCCCCTCCCCCCCCGGGCTGGCCGCCGAGAGAAAAAGCCGATCAAGCCCGCTCAATGGCCGTTGAGCCAGATGAGACCGCATTAGGCCCCAGATTAAGCTGGAGTGGGCGGGATTCGGCCAGATTGCACGAGATTCAATCGGATTCGGCCAGTTCTCTCGACCAGTTATCTACCAGAAGCGATTCCGAATCAACCTCCCAGGGGTCGCATCCCAAGGAGTCGTCCGGGGGGGTCAGCTCTCCCCCCCACAGCAGGCGGCCCAGGCCGCAACTGGCTGCGGAGAGCGCGCGCGCGCGCGCGTCGGCTGCGGAGAGGGGGCGGCGGCGGCCGCAGGCGGAGCCCTACAGACGGCAGCTGCCCATGAGGTCCACACCCCCAAGCGCCACAAACATCGTCGCTTCGATGCAGTGTTTCAACACGTTGAAAATCTATGTCATTTATAAACCGTCAATTCAACGGTCAACACCTCAACAACCTCCAACGTATTCAATACATGAACTGTTGTCGTTGCAGGCCTCATGGGGGACCCTGGAATGTGAAGCAGCGGCTCAGGATGCAAAAGAGGCCCTGGGGAGAAAGGGTCAAAACGTCCTGGAACCCAGACTTGAACACAACAATAATACTTGGGTCCTCGTGTCGCAGCTTTCTCGTACGCAGTGATGTCAACAGAAATTTTGCACTGGGGAGCTCGCAGATCGCTTCGGCTCAAGACGCACCGCAGCAGGCTGGGATCTGGGCCTGCTGTCATGATTTCCCGCGAGGTTGAATTTGCTATCGTGCTCAAATGTCAAGGGGGGATTTGCTCCAGGGGGCGCGCATGTACTTGGAATCGGCGATGCATCGCCAATAGATCACCGACAAACACATGGTGGCGAAACCGCACGTTCGTGGAACGCGTGGGCACCCAGGCCACGATCGGCGGCGATGTTTCCTTGGCGGCGCGATTACGGGGGTAGGGTGGGGGGGAAGTTTCTTAGAAGGAGGCTGTTTCTTAGATGGCGCCGGCCATATATCTATAGATAGGGCCCGCGCCTTCTAAAAAGCAGGGTGTTTCAAAGAAGCCTTCCCCCCTCCCCCCATGTTGCCCACCTCTGCGCGTAGCTGATTTCCACCTGGCACATTGCCCCTCTGCCTCAGAAAACTAGTCCTCCGCTCGCTGCGGGAAAACCACGACGGATGGGTTTTGGTCGTCTACGGCCTCCAAAAGGGCCCGATGCCAAGTCTCACACGAAGCCAAAACGAAGACAAATCCGGACGAGGATAAATCGAGAATATCTTTGTTGGGTCTCCACAGGCGCCGCCACAGGAGTGACCGCACACGCCATATGTGGGATAATGGCGCGCGACAGCTTTGGCGGGAAAGCCCCACAAGAGCGCGGCTACACTGCAGGCTTCCCGGGGCACAGAGTCGTCGCCAACGAGCAACACGCTGCAAAGCATCGCCAAGCGCAGAACCGACAAGCACGAGGCCGAGGAAACGAATCACGGCCGACAAATGTAGCAAATAAATCATTCACTGCGTGGAGCTTCCCATATGTGCGTCGATTCGCATGGACCTGTCTGCCGTGAGGGCTTAGGCGCAAGAGTTGTCGAATCTAAGCGGGCTTAAGTTGTGACGGTCTGGTCATGAATCGAACTTCGAACGGATTGGAGCGAAAATGAGTCTCGGTAGTACGAGCGCGTCTCTGCACATGAGCCTGGGGCCTCCTGGGGCCTCCAGAAACCTCCTGGGCCCTCCTGCGGCCTCCAGGAGCCTCTTGGGGCCTCCTGGGGCCTCTTGGGGCTTCGAGTGGCCTCCTGAGGCCTCCTGGAGCCTCGCGTAGCCTCCTGAGGCCTCCTGGAGCCTCCTAGGACCTCCTAGGGAGCATTCGTGCCCCATGAGACACCCGATCTATAGGAACAGACTTACATAAAACATTGCGGAGTGGAGCCACAGGAGAAGGGCAGTCTATAGGAGCACACGTAAAACACCAAGGACTCGTGCCCCAGGGGAGGCCCAATCTTAGGAACAGACGTAAAACATTCAGGATTGTATACACAAGAGAAGGACAACACATAGAAACATACATATAACATTAAAGGGGTCGTGCTCCTGGTGAGGCCCAATCTATAGGAGCACACGTAAAACACATGGGATTGGAGCCACTCCTGTTGCCTTCTGAGGCCTCCTGCTCCTGGGGCCTCTCGGGGCCTCCTGTTGCCTGGGCCTCCTGGCGCTTCCTGTGGCCTCCTGGGGCCTCATGTGGCTTCCTGAAGCTTCCTGTAGCTTCCGGGGGCCTCCTGGAGCCTCTCGGGACATCCTGTGGCCTCTTGAATCTTCCTGTGGCCTCCTGATGCCTCCTGGGACCTCATGTGGCCTCCTGGGGCCTCCTGAAGCCTGCTGGAGCCTCCTGTGACATCCTGGGGAGAATCTGTGCCCACGAGTCTGGCCACCCCAACAGGCAAACCAGTCGAGACATCCTCAAAGTCTGGCCCCCCCTGGGAGGCGAAACTGAGCGCCTCGCACGAGACATCCTCAAAATCTGCTCCGAAAGCGGAAGATGTTGGGGACCAAAACAGGCAAACCGCCTGAGACGTCCCCAACATTTGGGCGCGAACGGAGGCCGTGCAATACCCCTGGCAGCCCCCCTTTGGAGTGCTAAAACCAGCAAGCCGCTCGAGACATCTTCACCATCTGCTCATCGTCATCGTCATCGTCATCGTCATCATCATCAGCATCGTCATCATCATCATCATCATCATCATCACCACCACCACCACCACCACCACCACCATCATCATCATCATCATCATCATCATCACCATCACCATCACCATCACCATCACCACCATCACCATCACCATCATCATCACCATCACCACCATCATCATCCTCATCCTCATCCTCAGCATCAGCATCGCCATCATCATCATTAGACTCATCCATCATTCACCATCACCATCATACTCACATCATACTCTCACCATACCGTGGTCATCATCATGGTAGGGGTGGTCCAGCGCGGTCGGAGAATTGTTCACTGCGTGGAGCTTCCCATATGTGCATCGATTCGCATGGACCTGTCTGCCGTGAGAGCCTAGGCGCAAGAGTTGTCGAATCTAAGCGGGCTTGAGTTGTGACGGTCTGGTCATGAATCGAACTTCGAACGGATTGGAGCGAAAATGAGTCTCGGTAGTACGAGCGCGTCTCTGCACATGAGCCTGGGGCCTCCTGGGGCCTCCAGAAACCTCCTGGGTCTTCCTGCGGCCTCCAGGAGCCTCTTGGGGCCTGGGGCCTCTTGGGGCTTCGAGTGGCCTCCTGAGGCCTCCTGGAGCCTCGCGTAGCCTCCTGAGGCCTCCTAGGACCTCCTAGGGAGCATTCGTGCCCCAGGAGAAACCCGATCTATAGGAACAGACGTACATAAAACATTGCGGATTGGAGCCACAGGAGAAGGGCAGCCTATAGGAGCACACGTAAAACACCAAGGACTCGTGCCCCAGGGGAGGCCCAATATATAGGAACAGACGTAAAACAGTTTGGATTGTATACGCAAGAGAAGCACAACACATAGAAACATAAATATAACATCAAGGAGTCGTGCTCCTGGCGAGGCCCAATCTATAGGAACACGCGTAAAACGCATGGGATTGGAGCCACTCCTGTTGCCTTCTGAGGCCTCCTGCTCCTGGGGCCTCTCGGGGCCTCCTGTTGCCTGGGCCTCGTGGCGCTTCCTGTGGCCTCCTGGGGACTCCTGTGGCTTCCTGAGGCCTCCTGGAGCTTCCGGGGGCCTCCTGGAGCCTCTTGGGACATCCTGTGGCCTCTTGAATCTTCCTGTGGCCTCCTGATGCCTCCTGGGACCTCATGTGGCCTCCTGGGGCCTCCTGAAGCCTACTGGAGCCTCCTGTGACATCCTGGGGAGAATCTGTGCCTGCGAGTCAGGCCATCCAAACAGGCAAACCGGTCGAGACATCTTCAAAATCTGGCCCCCACTGGGGGGCGAAAGTGAGCGCCTCGCTCGAGACATCCTCCAAATTTGCTCCGAAAGCGGAGGATGTCGGGGACCACAGCAGGCAAACCGCCTGATACATCCCCGAAAATTTGGGCGAGAACGGAGGCCGTGCAATGCCCCTGGCGCCCCCCCCTTAGGAGGCGCCTCGCACAAGACATCCTCAACATCTGTTCCGAAAACGGAAGATGCTGGACGAAAAACAGGCAAACCGCCTGAGACATCCCCACCATTTGGGCGCGAACGGAGGCCGTGCAATACCCCTGACGGCCCCCCGTTAGGAGTGCTAAAACCAGCAAGCCGCTCGAGACATCCTCACCATCTGCTCATCGTCATCATCATCAGCATCGTCATCATCATCATCGCCATCATCATTACAGTCATCCATCATTCACCATCGCCATCGTACTCACATCATATTCTCACCATACCATGGTGATGTGGTCCGGCGCGGTCGGAAAAGAACAAAAACCCACTCTTTTGAATATGGGGAAAAACAAGAAACCCATCTCTTGGAGATGGGGACGAAAACGTCCGCATCGCTGGGCCTGCAGGGGAAGCAGTTCGACCGCGCAGGCAGCCGAACGGACGAGCACCGAGCGGGAAAGCAGTGAAAAGGTCGCATCGAGGCCCCAACTCAAATTTGCTGGCCAGCCCGGCTGCCCCGCTGAGCATCTGTCGCCGCAGGGGGGGTGCCTCCAGCGCCCCGCGGCCGTGCAACAGCGGGAGGGCGGACGCACGTGCAGCAGTGAAAAGGACGGCCTCAAGCAGGCTCAGAAGGTGGAGCAAAACATGCGAGTGGGCGGCTTCGTCTCGGCGAGGGCCGCTCTGGGGCGGGGTTTTCGCGAGTTCCTTTCGGAGCGCCCACTATGGCCCCCGCTCCTCACGGATCGACCCTCGGCTCGCCCGCCGTAAAAAAAAACAAAGCCGAACTACAGGGGCAAACGGGCGTCGAACCTGGCCGACCAGCGAATGCTAGCTGCCAGGACAAGACGCTGAAGGTCAATCCGATGCCGACCCCGACTCCGCCCCCAACTCGACACCACAAGAACTGGCAACAACCTCTCCTCGAGGGATGGCCGTCGCTCCACAGTGGCATCAGGCAGCGCTGGAACCACCTCGCCAGGGAGGGGCTCGCACTGTCTCCTGGGGCGCGATGGTGCTATACTCGGCAGACGACGATGCCGCATCACCCGCAGTTCCAGGCTCCACCTGAGAGGTGGCCAAGACAGTAGGATCTGCTGCAATAGAACTACTGGAAGAACACACGGGAGAGGCATCATCCACCGTTACTCCTTTGCTGGCGCGCGAGTAGTGAGGATGACATGCCCTTGCGCAAAGCAGCCCACCCAAGTCCGCCAGCGCGCG